GTGCACCTTAGATGCTGCTGATACTATGCCTGACGGCGTTTCCGGCAGCCACCCAATAATGATTAATTAACCTTTTGTAGAAAACCTTTTGTGTTTATTTATTTTTTCTCTTTTGGTGTAATTTTTAATTCGGTTAAAACATTGTTGGATGGCAAATAAACAAAAAAAAACAAAAAACAAAAAAANAAAAAAAAAAAAAAAAAAAAAAAAAAAAAAAAAAAAAAAAAAAAAAAAAAAAAAAAAAAGTGCAAAACCACACATATCCGTTTGAGACGTTACAGACTTCCTCAGGGGGTGGGCCCATGGGCCACGGCCCATGGCGGCAGATTTAGGGGGCGACTAATGTTGTAACTTTTTCAAATTTAGGCATCAAGAAAAAAAAATCTGATTCAGAGGAAAAATTACAAACGAGAGAAGGCGGAAAAATCTCTCATTTCCTAAGAGTTCAAGAATAGTAATTTCTAACTTGTTCGTCTTTCGGTGATACAAGAGACAGCGCCTTTCATTGGTCTAGTTAAGAGAGAAACCAATCACGTAATTTGGCCTGAAGCGGCGCGGCGCAGAGAGCAATGATGACGCGGACTTGAGATGGAAAGGAGAACATATTTGCGCCTACAAGACTCCATGAATACTTCACGCATTGCGTTCAACGTAGTGCGGTCAGTAGCGGTTGGCGTGAAACTCATAGTGCCTACAAGACTGCATGGATACTTCACGCATTGCGTCAAACGTAGTGCGGTCAGCATCGGGCGGCGTGAAACGAATAGCGCCTACAAGACTGTAGGGATACTTCACGCATTGCGCCCAACACAGTGCGGTTGGCGCGGTGGCGGAAATTAAGATCATCCGAACACATTCATGTTTATTTCTTCATAATTTTTCCGTTCTTTTCTTATAAATGAAAGGCCTCGTCTACACAGAGATAGGTTTACGGAGCTTAATTTTCGCGCAGAGTTCCGTGAATTTTTGTTAGTGTTGACAGGGCTTTTACAAAAAATGTGCCCAACACGAGTAAACGCGTCTAATGCACTCCTACTCCTCCAGCACGTTCACTTGATGGTTTGTATCGATGTTTTAAAACGAATGAGAAGGGGCGGCAAAATGCAGGCGGCCCATGGGCGGCAAGTAGGTAAATCCGGCCCTGGACTTTCTGTCATTCTTCCACGAAAGAAAAGTGGCAGGGTTATCCCCTAAAATTGTGGTACTACCCCAATTTGTCGGAGCATATGGATATTTCAAATTAATTGTTGTAGTGCCACAGCTCAAGTTGGGGTAGCACTGCAACATTTGGGTTAGTAACATACTTTATTGGGGGTTCTACCATAATTAACAGGGGCACGATCGCAATTAATTTGAAACGCCGACACATCATCCAATAACCCTTACCTCTTTTTTTCCGTCTCATTCCCTCCTTGAAAATTTTAGTCACTGCAATCTCTTGAAAATTTCCTTTCTTTTTCCTCACTTTTCGCAGAATATTCTGTATGAATTTCAAGCCGTGCAATTAGCTTGTTTCTCTCCAAAAAAATAAAATAAGAGCGTAAATTTTGAAACACTGCGCGATTTCGCACTTTGCTCAGAGGCGGATCCAGCAATTTGGCAACACCAGTTTTCCTCCATTTAAACCTATGTCGAATAATCGATTTGCCGGAGCACCTGGCCCCTCCAAGAATCGATACATTTCCATAGGTTTAAGTAGGGAAAATCAATGTCGCCAATTTGCTGGATCCGCCAATGACTTTGCTGTCGACATAGATCAATTTCATAGTTTATAGCATAATTTTAATAATTCTAATTGGCGTCACTTATGAATCACTCCTTAGCTACTTTATTTATCCGCAAAATATTGTGAAACAAATACGTCTTTTTCCTGTTAGAGGGCGCAACGGAAGGTATACCTATTCTATGGAAAATCGATTCGGAGTGGACTCAGCGGGAAAAAACGCTTAGACGTGATAAAATTTCCTCGACGATGCTACTTGGTTGCGAGATGCAACGAGGATATCCTGACGCTATTGCAACGAACGGAGCATGCTCCGTTCAGACGGTGTTATCATTGCTCCTGGAATTCCATTTTTACATGCAATATTGTAGTCGGACTCGAATTACTTGTGCATAGAATCAGTGGCGTGAATTGCGATATATCGATCGTTATACCATTTAAACCTATGGTAAAGAATCGATTTTTAAGGTGTTCGCTGCGAACACCCTCTTTGTCGATCCTTTTCCATAGGTTTAAATGGCATAACAATCGATATATCGCAAAGCACGCCACGCCACTGTTGTGCATAGAACGGCAGCCCTAGCCGTGAAGAAATAATAGAGACAATAAAAAATAGCGGGCAGAAAAAAAGATAATGGTTTTAGTGCATTTTGCGCGCCGTACAATGCATCGTTGTTCGAGATCAGGGTTGCCAATTTTTGTTCCCAGAGCTGTATTTACCTTGAATTTTACGTTCACGTGTCAAAGATTAACATTCGTTGCGATAAAAAATCGGTAATTTAGACATGATGCGCTACTGCTAATCTCTGCAATAACATAAATTTCGGATAACATGACTGACCGGTGGGGAAAATGGTTTGAAAATGAAAAAAAAAATGAACAATTATTTTTCTTATTTCAAAAAGTTGATTCTTAAAATATCTTGAAACGAATTCAGTATTTAATGAAAATGTTTTTAAATAATACATCAACGGCCGAAGCCGAAAAATGCGAATATTTACTGCAACTTTTCAAAATATCAGATTATGTTTATTTGTTTTAGAAGCTCGTGACTATGTTCCATTGAAATGTTGGTTACTTTTTTAACTGAGTAAAGACAAATTTACAGAGAGTTTCAAAAATGACGATTGATCAATTGGTCAATTTAAAAAAAAAAATAAATAAATAAAATAAAATAAAAACTAATCCACGAGTTGAGATTTGCAACGCCAAAATCGAAAATACGCAGTATCCAATTTGTCCATCTATGTATACAACGCACGCCCAAGTCAATTCTATAAAAATACAATAAATGAATAAAATTAAAAAAGTCTGTTTTAAAAATATTTTTCTGAGCAGCAATACTCATCTCATTTTGTTGGCTGTTGGGCTGCGGGCACCTCCTGGTAATAACCAGAAAACCCGGAAGAAATAATTAATATTTTTATCAATCATTGATTTAAAAATGAAATAAAATGTAAACATCTAGCCTGGATTATATCTTTTTAAACCCAGGGTGAATTAAATTTCGAAAAGAGCATACAATATCATAATAGAATCAAGCAATAATCAATTCTGCCGACAAATATAGATGGTTCATTTTGATTCCACGTCTCATTTTAGCATCTATAAATGGTGTGAAGAATGAATATCGGACGAGTTACATCGATTAACATCCGGATCTTCTTAAATTAGTTCCGCATTCAAACACTCAAGTTTAGAACGCCTAAAGTACTTCTTCAGTGTTGTTTGCAACGCTCCTATCTACGCATCCTCGTAGACAGTACAAAGAAGGCGCCTGCATTTTTGAGGAGCTCTACATTGGTGTACCAGTTTTTGAAGGCCGCGTGGCGAGTGCATTCTCAAGTTCACGCTCACGACGACGCGACGCCGGCGTGACGCGACATACGTGACGTGCACACATTCACGCGCGTGCACCAAAATACACCTCTCAAAGTTGTTTAAAAAGCTAGACTCGGCTGTGCGGCTTTTTCTCAAAGACTATGGGATGGGCCACATCAGTACAGGGCATCCGAGGGAGAATAACTGCTTCGGGAATGTGACAATGATTTTCGACGGTGTATATCTACAAAATTGCGTATATCTCGGCTGAGGTCCTTCAAAATCTTCCCTCTTGCTTTAATATACCGAACCAATTTCATAGCTTGAAATGTTCATTAAATCTTCACCATGAGAAGAAAAGTCACCAAAATTTACAACACTGAAAAAAAACTCCGCCCGTGGGAGCCGCAATTACGGGCTAAATAGTGTGAGGAGATACGAAAGTTTCCATAGTCAGGATCGGTCATGATCGGAAATGACCGGTCAAGTTCGCTGGATGACGATTGCAGCGTCGAATCAGAGCGGCCAGGGAGTGCGCACGCGCAGAGGAGAGGAAAGCGCGAGAGAGCTTCAGAGCAGAGCGCGAGGAGTCCCGGAGATCAGTATTGTTTCGGATGCCACTTGGTGCGTGGACCTTGGTGCCACGCTCAAACCCAAGTAGAGTCGTCAATATTCAATGATTTTTTTCTTACCGTCAGATGCTGTTGGTCAATAATTGTACAACGTGCTGATCTTATGCAAGGAATATCACGTCTAGTTCAAAACGAGTATTCTCCTTCTTTGCCCCCTCGTTTTATCCCTTTTCCTTCTTCTACCTGGATCTCGCAAGGAGGTTTGATCCGAGGGATATATCCCTCGCTATCGCCACCTTTTCCGAGGTCCTCCCCTTTTGCTCTCGCGTCGGAGGTTTGATCCGAGGGATATATCCCTCGCCATCGCCTCCTTCCTCGAGGGCCTTCCCCCTTCTCCTTTATAGGATATCTTCGGAGCTGCCGCATCATTACAATAGACATACCGTCCGTTCCGGGCTCAAAGGCCGCAAATTCCGGCTGCAGGAGGCGTAGCTTCGATTGCTTCGGGTTCAGAGGCCGAAACTACGGCTCCAGCAGCCGGAATTCTCGGCCTTAGAGCCCGGAACGGACGGTATGTCAATATAGCCCGTAATTGCGGCTCCCACGGCCGGAGTTTTTTTTTTTCAGTGAACGTTCACCAGTTTAGCATGCAGAAAATTAGGTATGACAAGAAGCCTGCAACACCCTGAACCAATATTCATATTTCTGCGGATTTACCGTCCAAGTGCCCTTGTAAATTTGGGGTTCACTGATTGGTCCCGAGATGGAGACAGCGTGTCTGCCCACATCGCCTGTTGCACACGAATTATCAAAACAGAATTTACTGAGTCTGAAAAATCATATCAAAATCTATTTCAATGAGATGGTCATATCTGAAGATTTTCGAATCGATAACCACCCTCTCAAAGTTAACATCTTTGACGGTTTAAAGTGAGTCTTTCAGTGCCTCGGTTACCCTCTTCCGCGTATTGGTGTCCTGTACCTTTCCAATCAGGTAACTTAAAATTTTATTTCTACATTCTTAACGATGAGAGGAATGAAGGAAAACATACTCAATAGTGCGCCAAGTGAAGTATACAATGTAAAAAGTTGATGTTGAATAATCTGATGGTGATGGATGATCTTTCAGGAATGAAATTAATCTCATAACTTCAAATATTCAATTAAAAAATGAAAGTGCATAATAGATATCTCGTGACTAGAATTGTATATTTCATAAATTTCAGATTCATTGCCATCTTAATTCAGGATAGAGACGACATGGAAAGGTATAAAGCGGATGAAGAAGTAAACAATACTTTTTATGATTTTGGGAAAAATATGCTTGTAATTAAGAAATCACACGAATGCGATTGCGACACGAATGACTTTCTTTCCAACTCGAATATCTAGGTGAATAAGTAGAACATTGAGAGGTTTTTGCATCCCCAAAAGAAACTTCCCTTCTAATGCCCCACTTTAGTATTTACTCGATAATTTCAATGAAAAAGGACCGGGAAATAAAATTTCTTGATTCTAAGTGGATGTGACTTGGTCCCCTTCTATTAAGCTCGGTCCGTACGGACATATTTAAATAAAAAGGAACTATATCCATTGTGTCATGGTCTCTGTCATGAATGTATTCTCATGAATATCAAGGTTCAAGTCAGGATGGATATATAGTTCCTTTCGATTTAAATACGTCGATACGATCCAAACTAGAGGACATTTGTGTTCGCAGGGATCATTTTCCACAAAATGGGAGTACCATGGACGGATCAACTGTTGAGACGGGGGCTCCTGTTCGGGACTGTTACGTCACTGCTGGCCATTGTGCACTGCGAAAATGTAGAACCAAAACATTCGGAAATAAACAGCAAAGTCGAGGAATTCGGAATATGCCCGGATGTTATAGATAAGAATGCAAACTTAAAATTGATTCATGTAAGTGGCAAGTTGATTAATAGACTAGACAGGGTTCCAAGGAGTTCCACGGACGGATTAACTGATGAGATGGCTCGGGACTGTTAAACGTCAATGCTGGTCATTGTTCACTGTGAAAGTTTAGGGCGTAACCAGAGGAACCCCGACTGTTGCCGTACAGAACATGCTTCCTGGCCCTCCGAAAATTCAATTGAAAATATTGCAATTGTGATTTATAAGCTTCAATTTTCTGTAAGCGATCGAGAATGCTCATTGCATAATAATAAATATATAGCAACGGTTTGACGAACGTATAATAGAGCTCAAAAAATATCATTGGTGCGTCTCGCTAGCGACCTGCGTGAGCGCCCGTGCCTTGCGTTTATTCCTGCTTACAAGTGACACCAAAGCGCCTTCGTTTTGTAGTGTAGGCAACACGGACATCCGGTAAGCACGAATAGCTGTATCAAGGTGTTGACTTCATCGTTACGTTCCGGTGGTCGGTCCAAATGGTAACTGTAGGCATCTTGCCACGTTCTGTTCCTATTTTAAACTTAATAATGGACCAAAGAATAAGGTAGGAGATTAAGCATTACAATATACATATGTTTCCTCGTCAAAATATTATGTAGAATGTGATGTACGCACTGAAGCTTTCCAAATTCAACTCGCAAGTTGGAAAATAGGGTTTTATTTCCATTATTTCACACTTTCTGCTCACAGAAAAACCAGAGTCCATTCGAGTCAAATCGACTACTAAACTGATTCCGGTATATTGTACGATGGAAGAATTTTCCCGCGCATTATATTTTTTTGCTACAAAAAAAGAGAAAAAAGGATATCTTGAAAAAATTGAGAGGAAGAAAAAATAAGTGAAACCAAGCTCTAGTTATTTGCTAACAAACAGGCTGATTTAACCGCTTAGTTTGGCCTTCGTTAATTAAGACTTTTTCGTGCGCAGAACATTTGATTTTCTATTTATACTGTAAAATACTAACGTTCATTCATATCTACTCATGAGTTTATTTTAAAAGTTGTCGATGCGTTCAACTAGTTCTGCTTGACATTTTCATAAGAAAACATGCCGCCGTGTGCTTAATTGCTTGACCTGTTTGGTGGTCAATTATTATTGTCCTCTATTCGATGGTTGACATTAAGGTTTATCTACAGCTGCGTGAAGTAAGAAATTTCTCCGCGCAGGGGGCGCCACCGCTGTGTTTTAGAGTCCGTACAGCTCCACGTGAGTCCTTGAGCTTTTATAAAAGTTGAAGGAATTTCTGTTTAAATCGAAGAGTTATAAGTTCTAGCCATAACATTCTTCTTCCTATTGACCCTAAAAACAACGTGAAAAGTCATTTCTGAAGCTCTGCAATTTGATCCCAGAAAAAAGTAGGGTTAAGCATGATGACCTTGATGCAACCAATCGCGCTTGATCGCTCTCAGCAGTTGGCAGATATCTCTCTCCCACCGTGAGCTGTCTCTCTCGCACTTACAGATATCCCGTAAGAGAAACTGGGATCAATTTACAGCTTTTATTATTAGACTTTCAAAGCTCGCGTTTGTTTCTAAGGATTCCAGACGTATGCTGCTAGAACTTATGAGTCTTAGAATTTAAGATACCTATTGTGATATTTAAATAATCACTGATTTCGGAGTCGGATTTTAGCAGCGCGACGTGGTGGATTTTTTCGGAACTACAGCTGAAGATTAACCTTAAAACGGCCCGGAATTCGTCGGGGCAGAACGAAAAGCGTCCGGTAAAACAACAACGGGAGGCGCAGGAGTATCAATTTTTGCGGCCAGAGCAAGAAGACACCGCAATGATTCGATGGAAATCCTTGCCGCTTCAATTGCGAGGACCGAGAACGTCGCGCCAATATGAAGGTCGACAAACTATGCAATTCAGTAATCGTTACATAAAACGCAGAGTCAACGAATAACGGTAAAAATTGTGACGGAGTAAAATGAGGAGAGCAATTAAGAGTTAACAATTAATGTTCAGAGTTGTATAAATATGAGGGTTTCAATGCAGGCTAATATTCTTAGAGTAAAAAACACTAAAACTGTGTCCCGAATTTTATTTGCACTGTAAGAGTATTCGAATGCATCTGCCTCCTTTCCCCCTGTCCTGCACCGATACTCGTTACTGCTCAAATTTTTGACTCTAATTTAGACATTTTTGACCTTGCACGTATGACTGAAGCTCGTTTTTTTAGCTAAAGCCAAGGAAAGGTATTTATTTTATGAAAAATGTTGCATTTTACATTAAACTAATAACGTCATTTGTATTTTCATTAATGAGTTATATTACATATTTTCTATAAGTAAATAATTTACATGATTTATTCATTCCAGGTCCAATTCAGACAAACAGTCACGGTAATGCTAGGAAATAAGGTCCACGTCAAAGCACTGGGTTGCAAACCGCATAATATAACGTGGGAAGCAGACAATAGCACTCTCTATACACTACTTCTTGTGGGTGAGGGCGCCATTCTTTTATTCTTCAAAAAATGAACAAAAATAATTTGGTGTTGGCTTAGTGTGTACACCAAACTACGTACAATTTTTTAGATTTTTATCCATTTTTTTTTTGTCTTTTTTTATGTTCGCTCAAGCAGAACAGTTTAAGTGGACCGAGTTAAACAGAGAAAATCACATGAAGGTTGAAGCGAGAAAAAACAGATTAAAGTTTTATTCCTCTCGATGCTAAGATCTTTGCACGTCAATTTTCACGTTCAAAATAATTTTTCTTGACTTTAAAATTTTGTAAGGAGAATATGAATTTAAATTCACGCATAGCCCATTTTCTTTTCAAAATGCGACTTAATGCGTTTCTATCGGATTCTGTTCAGGTGCTCTTCCTCGACATTTAAGCTCAATTCAGACGGTGAAAATTTTCACCAGGCAAAAGCGGATGAAAAGTTGGATGGAGACTTGAACGCAATAAAATTTGGTTCAAGTGCCATATTGCCTTGTGATATAGTCAAACGGTATTCGGGTATCTCTGTGGGCCTCTGATTCCCAAAAATACAGCTTCCACTCATGTCGGTCGGAAAAATTCGTTCAACTGTCTGTTGGCGCCGCCAGTTAAATGAAAAGTTGGACATAAAATTGAAGGCGCCATCAGAGTCAAGTTCCGATTCAACTTTTCATACGATTGTTACGTTCTTCCGTCAGTATATCACACGAAATCCAACTTTTCATCCGACAAAAGCGGAAGAAAAGTTTGACCGTCTGAAATAGGACTTTGCCCAAAATCGCATGATTCAACTTTGCATTCAACTCTTCTTCCACTTTTGTCGAGTGAAAGTTGGATCGTGTGATACTGAAATGAAAACGCAACAGTTTGATGAAAAGTTGGACGGTGCATTGAATTTGACTTCACACTCAACATTTTGTTCAACTTCCCATCCAATTGGCGGCACAAATTTGATGGGAAGTAGAACGAAAAGTTGTAAAAGAAAAGAAAATTTTCCGATCGACATCATCCGGAGCTGTATCTTCGCGAATTGGAAGCTGACGAAGACACCCGAGTAAGCGATATCACACGGCAGCGGCTGTTACATCACATTTTGATGCGTTCAACTTTCCATGCAGCTTTTCGTCCGCTTTTGTCCGATGAAAAGTTGAACTGAGTGAATTGGGCTCGACCCGACAATTTTTGACCTACTGCTCCTCCTTTAGATCCAGACTGGCCAATCAAGGAGCCTCGCACGATAAACGAATTCCCACATTGGATGGTCGGAAACATTCCGGGAAGCAATGTTGACAAAGGGGAGACCATAATCGACTATGTCGGTTTCCGCGCTACGGTCGTCGATGAAAGTGAGTTGCATTTACTTCGTTTCTCGGGAAAATACCCTCTAAGATAAAACAGCATTTGCGACGTCTATGGTTAGCCTTGGAAATCACGTATCATTATTTACGTTTCAAACTCTCCGCCAGTAAATTCGAGTTGTCAGAGGGGAACGGAGCTAAGTTGATCACTTCGGATTTTTAAAAAAAATTAGTTTGTTGTAAACTGATGGCGCAGCGAAAAAGAGAGTTACTTCGTAAGACAAAAATAGCTTGAAAATCACGACGAATGCATCGGAAAAATCTGAACTTTACCACTAATTTTATGATCTGTGTGATAAATTTGTGAAACTCGACTAATTAAAGGTGCTGTCTTTTGTATCACCGCAAAACGACAAAATTAGAAATTACGATACTCACAGGAAATGCAAGATTTTTTCGCCTTTTCTCGTTTGCAATTTTATTTTTATACCTACATTTAAATAAAAAAAATTCAAAATTTGCCGCCCCCTAAATTTGCCGCCATGGGCCGCGGCCCATGTGGCCACCCCCTTAATCCGGCCCTCGGGATCCGCCCCTCATGGGGCCTCGCTTCCTTGAAAATTTTAGGGGGGTAAAATAGTGGCTCCCTTTGACCTAGGAACGTCCTCCAAGTTTCAAGTTTAATGTCTATCTCAATTAGGCTAAAAGTTAAAAGGGGGGACTTTTCAAACACCCCGTATAATTAATTTCAGCCATGAGAGAACTTATGAATTCAGAGTTTCTCCTCCTTTCTTCTTTAGATCCTCACCGGTACACTTTTCTAGCATATGCGCAACCTAAAAAGAAACCTATTAAATTCGATGAGCCACGATTGAATACCACGTAAGTATAGAAAGAAAAATATCAATCTCACTCAATCTATATTATACAGCTACATGCAAAATCTTGGAAGCACTATTTCTGACGGACTGCCGGACCGATAAGGATGATCTTTACATGTGTGTCATCTGTAGTAGCTGTAAATGTGCAAAAATTTATGAAACCCCGAAATTTTAATGTTGTAGAGCTTTTAAAGCTCATGTTACTTAAGTCCAATGTTAATAGCGTGAGAGATATGTCGTTTCCGCTAGAAACGTCAAGGTGTGGGATTCTACCTGATGACTCGAGTAAACAATAAAACAATGGAAAAGCTCGTGAAGGGCTCCTCATTTGAAGAGTTGAGGAACGGTGCATCGCTCAGGGTTCAAAGTTCAAGGTCCAAGGTATAAGGTTTAACTCAATTTTTCCTGCATTCTTCCGGCTTCGATTTGTGGCATTGGTCAATTTACTTTATTGCTGAATTTCTATTAATATTTATACAGCAGATACAAAGTGAGAGGGCAGGCACTGCGTCGCGTCGGGACGGACCAAATATTATTAACTCTTAACGGTCGAAATCCGATTTTTTTTAAAATTAAGTATTTAAAAATAACATAATAAATGGAAATTTCTCCAGTAAGTGGACTGTGAAAGTATGTACATCCAGCTATTCCTCATCATTTACAAATCTGAGTGTTACGTCAAAAATTTTGAAATCGATGCAGCTCGAACACAAAATGGTGTATTAAAATGGAAAAACATGTTTGCCTATACATATGCGTAAAGGGCCCGCGAGGCGCCCTCCCGGGGGTTAGGCCGCGTAGCGGTTAGGGGGCAGGGCCCCCTAGTTTCCTTATAATACTCGTATAGTAAGAAGACACTATGACCTGGAATTGACCTAGTTTTCGTTGTCGTACTTAAAGCCTCAGTTCTTATCGAGACTCAGGACAGACCCCAAAAGGTCGAAAGCTGGCTGGTGTGGCCCATTCATACCTAAGTGGACCTCGTTTAGTAGAAAGAAATCAAGCCACATCAGCTATATGCCAAACTTAACGGGGCAATTGAATTTTTTACAAGAGAACGTTTGTGCGGATTCCTTTGAAAATTTTGAGGAATTCGCTTCGCACTATGCAGAAAATTCACGGAAAGCACGAAAATCCGCTCAAATGTATTCAGGTAAAAAATTAAATTGCATCGGGACCGAAATAATTGTTGCCAAATATGTAACATTGTAACTACGACTAGGACAATAGGTAGGACCAGGAATCCACTTCGACCACTGTGGAGTACCTAACGATTCTCTTTTTTCCGTACGACTGAATATGCTTATTGCTATGTTCAAATATGACTTCCCAGTTGTTCATTTTTCAAGACACGTTATAAATACTCACATAGTTTAACGATTTCAAGTGGGTAATAATTGTTTTGTCTAATTGCAGGCAAATTTATGAGAGATCATATATTAAGAGATTCTCCAACTTCTCGGGTAAAAACATAGCGAAGAAATATAATCTGACGAACGTTGGAATTAATTTCTTCCTCGTCAGCCACAAAGAGAAGTATATAGACGACGACTACTTAATCGACAAAGAATACTGGGACGACTGATCTGTCGGCAAGATCTACTCTTTGCTTCTGGCAAATTCTTGAGCCTGGAAATGATCAAATTGCGGCTAAGAGCAAAACAAAAGGTGCCCAGGATAACTCTCCTTCCTCTTGAGCCAGTGAGGACCTCATGTTGAGGATCAAAATTTCATGGACATAATATACTGGGTCAACTGATGTTTTGCCCTGTCAAAACGTGTCTTTTGCTTTGAGGCAAGTTCGGGGAATGAGAAGTTTTCAAGAGCATTTCGGCACTATATCTACCCTCCCATGCTGAAGAAAAACGTCGTATGAGCTTTTGGATGTTGCTAAATTTCCGTTGATAAAAATAATAATTTGCGGGGAAACCTGTAAATATATTTCTGCCAATTTTTAGAACGAAATTCGTTCACAGATTACTCTAAAGTATCTGAAAATTTCAAGGATAAGTATTCCTTAATAATATATAAATGTTTTATAACGGAAAATTTGGCAACATTTGAATACTCATACGGCATTTTATTTCGGTCAAGTAGGAATATCAAATTACAGCGGGTGGTCATCGATTTTATGCATAAATATGATAAGTTATTTAAAAGTTGAGCAAATTCGAAGCATTGATACCATCTTAGAAGATGATCAAGGTTTTTTGTTTTATTCGGGCACATTTTATTTACAAAAAACTTATTTTGTGTCCTTTCCTCCCCTGTAGACCAATGTAATTTTTCTTGGAATTTTGATCGCTTTGCGTTTCATCTAAAAATGCTAGCTTCTAATACATTCAAATTGTAGATGACTCATTCTTTTTTTTTTTACGAAAAAGATATCAACGCGTGAATGTGATCACAGACTTTGAGTCCGTGGCGACTTTTAAAATCAGAGCGATCACCTCTGCTCCTCGTAAAGAAAGACATTTCGAAAAAATTTCTCAGATTTATGAAATATAATCGTTATATTTTCCGTTATGTTTTATTTCTCTTGAGACTGCAAGGAGAAAACACAAAAAAGAACGTAAAACTTCACTCTTTTGGCCTTCAGCTAAATTCATGTAGCCCGCTGAAGTTCTCATCATTGAGTATATGTGTATGATCAAAAGACTTTAGCTTTTAACAATTTAGTTACGTTGCATGTAAACACCTCATTGTGCTTACAGAAGTTCAGGAATTTGTTAGGCTTTGCCCGTGTAAAATTTCCTTACTTAAATTATCAAAAGCAATTGAAAGTGAATGCTGTTAAGTTTTAGAACAATCCAAAGGACGAGCTTTATTTAGTCTCGGTTTTTCTCGCCTCAAAGAACCACTTTTCATGGGATTTTGGCACTTCTGGAACTTACACCCTTCAAAAAATCTGTTCTATTATCATCTTCTATCTCAGTTACTTAAACCATTAAGATCTACTTGTAAGAATTCCTTATGAGGATTGAGAAAGGAAATTTTAAACGTGAATTTTTGTTAACTTGTACTTTGCACACAGAGTCTCAAATAAATTTTTTTGCGAAATTAATTGGTCATTTTCATTTTGAAATATTTTTTCCATGATTACTCCTACTCGGATAATTATGTACATTTCATTCTTCTCAGTCGATTTTCAGTCTTTTTTTTTCTCTAAAATTCGACCCTCGCTGGAAAAATGAAGAAAAAAGATAAGAGTATAAGGCTGGATAAATTATAAGTCAATATTGCAGGTAAAATGAAAACTAGAACAAGTTGGATTTTGCAATCGCTAGCGATAGCAATATTCGTCATGGGAACGTTAGCTTCTGGGATATGAAAATGTTAAGGTACAGTTCGTTTGTAGTATCTTCTGAATTGAAGGGGCTATGTAATTTTGTGTTGACATCTCTTTTTGTCATGGGAACGGAGTTCCCCATGATATTACAATCGTTCCGTTGCTATCGCTATGGGATTCCCTATGCCTCTGCGACCTTGAGTGTTTCGCCCAGTCTTCGATTTTTGGTTGATTTCCCGATTTATCAAAAACCGTCGTATTTTTTAGCCAATCATGTCTCTACGTCAAGTTGTGTTGATTGCTAAAATTCGCTTTCAGCGAGTTTTTTTCCACCTTGAGATGTCGTGTCTGACTAGTAAATCTGCGCAGAACCACGAAGTTCCGATTTTGGGCAAATTTTTTTTTTGGGAGGTTCTGATTGGTTATTTTTTGCAATCAGTTTTCTGTTCGTTGGTGCAAAAGATCGCCTACCTCGTTGCTCTTGAGAAGCCGCCATTATCTCACCTCAAATGTTAAAAATAGAAGTAAAGAAATAATAACCATCGTACAAGGTGGAAAATTGCTCTGGAGGACCCGTTACGGATATATGAGCCAAAATCAGAACTCGATTGATGGATTTAATCCATGAATACAGAAATATTGCCTCAGTTTACTGCCGCGATAGCAAATGCATGCTGAGATGAACCTTGTGACGCATGAAACCATAGGGAAACAATGTCTCACAGAGAAATGCGCTTAATCCGTTGTCTCTTATCATGTCAAGGACATCTCTTGTGAAGCCTCGCTCAGCGTCCGAGATTACTTAACTGTTCTCTTTTCTCCCAACCTTATCGGGCGCCGAGATGGCTCGATCGTCTGCGACACCACTCAGGCTCTGGAATTGTGTCCTTTCTGGTGCGAGCGGGGGTTCGAATCTCGTAGGGGACAGTTAATTTTTACTGGTTGTATTAGTGGGGCCGATAAGCATAACAATCGTGCACTTCTGGAAGAAAGCATGAAAATTTCAGCGATTCATCTCTACCCTATAGACTTTCGATTCAGACATAGACCCCAAAAATCTGAGCCCCCTGGGGGGGCAGGGGGGCCCCCAAATTTTGAATTTTGAATAACTACTGAACGGCTAATGTTAGCGTAATTTTTTTTAAGCAGGACGATAGGAAATTTTATCAGGAACAAAAATGATTCTTATGAATTTTTCTGTGGGATCGATATTTAAGGCGTGAAACGGGAAAAACCATCGGGGGACGGGGAGCCGGCCGTTCTGAGGCAGATCCGCGCGCTGCGCTGTTTGCCCGGGACGCGCGCGGCGGCGCAGTACGGTGTTACCGACGAAACAGCCGCTTGTCTTGGTTTAATCTCAACGATGCGCAGTTTTAAAAGTATTGTGAATATATCGTACTACCTATAAAGCCTTAAAATAGGGCTTAACTTATGCAGGTAATATATGTATACAAGCGAGCGCACGGCAACAGAAAGAGAAGGAGCTAAGTGCTGGAGTTCCGAATTGTTTTGTTGTATGGGTTTGTCAAGTTTTATTACAGCATCCGAGATAACTGCATCAGACATCAGTTGAACGGAACAAAATCTGAGGCACAGTTGTCTCGGGAAGGGGGGGGGGCTAAAAGTCACAAATCTTATTTGTGTACCACGATGACCTGAAAAATGATTTTAAAGTGTTTTTCTTTCTCTTTCTCTCGGTGCTGCGACATCAGGATGGTATCTAAATATGCTTACTTAAGACAGGGAGCCTAATTTTGTAAACAATGAGCATACATAAAAACATGCTTGCTTATTCTCCTCTCTTTCAGGAACATTTTGGTACATCATTGCTACGTATAGGCATTTTTTTAAGAGGACCAAAACCACCTTCAAAACTTGCTCCAAAAAAACGGCAAAAGAATCTTGAGAAAGCTTGATAGGGATAAATGACCCCCAAAAAACCTTTGTTGGACTGCTTCTTGTACAGTACAAAGAATAATATTAAGTAATAACTAGTCGCCGTATCCGCTAATCTGTCAAAACGGTCCATTTGAGTGATAGGAAGTCGCGCCTAAGTACTGGGAACCTATCCTGCTCTTATGTCAGCGCATCATAGGTACGATATTCCGCAATCTCGGTAATTTTGCAACTAATTACTGATTGCTAATTTTGACTGATTTTTTGATATTATGACGATAAATTAACCTTTTGATGATCTCTACAGCTAATTCGATCAGTGTTATAATGTACGATAACGTTTAAGGTGTACGTTTTGTGAATTGCATATTTTGCAAGTCCCGTTTCTTGAAAATTGTCTCCAACATACTTACCTAGAACTCTTCCATGAGCTCCATACAAATCAAAAATCGGTACGAGATTTGCGGATTGAAAAAGAAGAAATGCAATGAATTTCTTCCTGAGGCCTGGTCCTTCTCAGAGGTTCTTTAAAGAATCAGAACCTGCATGATAAATAAATTTCCTCCTATATTAATATTTTTTTCAAAACAAATGTTACCAACTCCACTCTAAATTCCATACAACAAAATGTAAGATAATATACATGGATTTTTTTTACTGCTCATTCCATTTTCTGTGTGTCGTGGTAAGTACCAGTAATATCTTCAAGGATGACTCGATAAAAAGAGGCGATAGTATTCAGATATCTTCTTTTTTATCATTTATTTAATGTATTGTTCTATTTTTTTTTAAATATGCATATTTGTTGAATAACTGAAAAAATAGGGAGTTCATGAAAATGAAAACTTCTATTGACTGGCTGGAGGGAAAAAGAGGAGAAAAGAACATTGTCGGAATGTTCCGTATGAATCAGTACCTATGCAATTGCGAGAAACCAATAAACATGAACGAAAAACGATATTTCCTTCATTTTGAAGGGAATCTGGTAACCTTATAGTGGCGAAGGGACTGTGGAGCCCCCCTCCCCTCCCTCCACACTCCTCAATTAATATCTCTACCAAGTTTTGCAAAATTCATGGTTATGTAAGCAGCTCATTGTCTCATTCGCCGAAAGTAACATGAAAAATAAGCTAAAAATAAGTTACGAAGGATCCGCCATTTCCAATAGTCATGAAAAAGTGGGTCAAAATCGTATTAAAACTTGTTATTTCGCTCTAATATCTTAAAAAAATGTAATCCTGTACAAAACTTACGCGAGGAAAGGGTAATTTACTCTGTATTGAGGTCGGAAAAGCTCTGCATTCAGAGAAAACAAGACGCGTGATGCGCGATGACCGATCCCTTCTATTGACTCGGCGCTCTCACACTGGAGTATTTCGCTTTTGCTTGTTTTTATGTATTACTAGTAAAAAGTAGAGCTTATATTACTGAGGAAAAGTATTTAGGCAGTACGGTAAATTCATTATTATTTTTAAAACTGCGCATCGTTGAGATTAAACCAAGACAAGCGGCTGTTTCGTCGGTAACACCGTACTGCGCCGCCGCGCGCGTCCCGGGCAATCAGCGCAGCGCGCGGATCTGCCTCAGAACGGCCGGCTCCCCGTCCCCCGATGGTTTTTCCCGTTTCACGCCTTAAATATCGATCCCACAGAAAAATTCATAAGAATCATTTTTGTTCCTGATAAAATTTCCTATCGTCCTGCTTAAAAAAAATTACGCTAACATTAGCCGTTCAGTAGTTATTCAAAATTCAAAATTTGGGGGCCCCCCTGCCCCCCCAGGGGGCTCAGATTTTTGGGGTCTATGTCTGAATCGAATGTCTATAGGGTAGAGATGAATCCCTGAAATTTTCATGCTTTCTTCCAGAAGTGCACGATTCTTATGATATTTTCCACTTATCGGCCCCACTATATTGAATGTTTTAGACCAATCATCTAACAATAATTAATACTTGGCAACTTAGGAAGCACATAGGTCCCTTGTGATGCGTATTCGGGCATATGTGTAGAGTAAAAATTTCATACGTAGGGTGTCCCAAAAGTACCGGGACTGGTTCTGTAACTTCAAAAGTAAGATAGATACAGACATGATTTTGGTCTCATTTTAAAGATCAACTCAATACCTATCGATTAAAACCAAGATCAGCTCAATCGAATAAAAATTGACCGAGTTATGACAATTTGAAATTAGTGAGGTAAGTTTACCCCTACGGTTAATAGGAAGATTTTTCGCTTACCAGGATTCAAAAAGTTAATATTCGTATCCACTTTCCTCCGAATCTTCCATAACTTCCTTTTGCTTTTCAAAGTACCGTCCATCAAACCGGATGCACTTTTTCATGCGCTCTTGCCACTTATCCAACATTATTTTCCTGAATTCTTCCTCTGGGATGGCGTTGAAAAAGTTTTGAATTGCATTCTGGATTTCGGTCTTCGATTCGAATCTTCGTCCGCGAAGCTCCTTTTTAAGCGTAGGAAACATCCAAAAATCACATAAAGCCAAGTCAGGGCTATAAGGGGGATGAGGGATTATTTCAACTCCATTTTTACTCATAAATTCACGTGTTAAGCTCGATGTGTGAGGCCGCGCATTGTCTTGATGGAGTATCCACGAAGCTTTCAAGTCCGACCGTTTCCGGGAAATGTGCATTCTCAACTCCTTTAGCACTTTGCAATAATACGCACTGTCAACTGTTGTGTTTGGTGGTACAAAATGTTGATAAATGACACCTCGAAAATAAAAAAACACAATAAGTATCACTTTATAGGCCGACTTTTCGATTTACGGCGATGAAGAATCTTCCTTAAAAACCGTAGGGGTAAACTTTCCTCGCTGATTTCAAATTGCCATAACTTGGTCAATTTTTATCCGATTGAGCTGATCTTGGTTTTAATCGATAGGTATTGAGTTGATCTTTAAAATGAAATCAAGATCATGTCTGTATCTATCTTACTTTCGAAGTTACAGAACCAGTCCCGGTACTTTTGGGACACCATATGTACTTTACGCCGAAGAAGCGAACCTGAAACTTAAATGCGTTAACTTCCGAAAACCATATACAGGGTGTTTCAGACCACCCGTACCAGGCCTTTTTCTCGGTTGTTTTGGGTCGTGCGAAGTCGAGGACCGCGGGGTTGAATAGGGAATTGACCCCAAGAAATCCGAATTTCGTGGTCCCGAAACCCCCCCATGTCTCCTTGGGGGGTAAAGGGGGGGGTCGTGATGCTAAAAGTCACGGTTCCCGACCGAATTTTGGATTAATCGCATCAGAATTAAAAAGCACGGAAAATTTCACGTGAAATTGACCCCTAAAAATCCATAATCGGCCCATCCCAGGCCCAAAAATGATCCCCTAAAGAGGGGGACAGTACCCCCCTCCATAATTTCTCTTTGGTCTCAAAATTGACGTAGATTCTCCAGAAAAAGATGGTTTCCCGGGTAATCGACCCCGAGAAATCCAAATTTCATGGTCCCGAAGTTCCTCTAGCCTCCCTCGGGGGGTAAACGGGGGGCCAATTTTAAGAATCGGGGCTCCTTTCCGAATCGCAAATTGATTGCATCCAAATTAAGGAGCAGAACACTTTTACATCTTACGTGACCCCCAAGAGTTTTAATTGACCCCCCTGAACGGCAGAAAGTAACCTCTGAGGAGGGGGGCTTCGCCACCTCCAAAAATTTCTCGAGATTCCTCTTTGGTCGCAAAATTGACGTCGATTCTCCAGAAAAAGACGGTTTTCCAGGTAATCGACCCTGAGGACTCTGAATTTTATGGTCCCTAAGCTCCGCTACCCGCCCTTTTGGGCAGAAACCGTCTTTTTCTGGAGAATCGACGTCAATTTTGCGACCAAAGAATAATCTCGAGAAATTTTTGGAGGGGGCGAAGACCCCCTCCTCAGAGGTTACTTTCTGCCGTTCAGGGGGGTCAATTAAAACTCTTGGGGGTCACGTAAGATGTAAAAGTGTTCTGCTCCTCAATTTGGATGCAATCAATTTGCGATTCGGAAAGGAGCCCCGATTTTTAAAATTGGCCCCCCGTTTACCCCCCAAGGGAGGCTAGAGGAACTTCGGGACCATGAAATTTGGATTTCTCGGGGTCGATTACCCGGGAAACCATCTTTTTCTGGAGAATCTACGTCAATTTTGAGACCAAAGAGAAATTATGGAGGGGGGTACTGTCCCCCTCTTTACGGGATCATTTTTGGGCCTGGGATGGGCCGATTATGGATTTTTAGGGGTCAATTTCACGTGAAATTTTCCGTGCTTTTTAATTCTGATGCGATTAATCCAAAATTCGGTCGGGAACCGTAACTTTTAGCATCACGACCCCCCCTTTACCTCCCAAGGGGACATGGGGGGTTTCGGGACCACGAAATTCGGATTTCTTGGGGTCAATTCCCTATTCAACCCCGCGGTCCCGGACTTCGTACGACCCAAAACAACCGAGAAAAAGGCCTGGTACGGGTGGTCTGAAACACCCTGTATAATCCAACGAAAATAAATAATGTACCACTAGACAAGGTACGAATTTCAGCATTCTGATACATGTTTCTTAACCAGAATTTCACGTAAAATACGATTCGCGCAACGAACATTACTGAAACCAACTCCTAACGGAGATATCAACATTTTATTTCACATTGGTTACGAGTAATTTGAACTGCCCGCTCACAAGAAACTCCAACCTCTCGTGAGTCAAACCGCGCACTACAACGGTTTCAGCAAGCATCTCAATCGAGCAATGTTCATTTCCCATGTGTTTTTCAAACTATAAAGTAATTTGCTATAGCTGAGCCAAAGTGTCAAGATTGAGGTTGCCAGATTTTTATATAGCAGAGTCAGTCATGATAACGTTTAGCGCGCGATGTGAATCACGTAGAGCATTGAGTTTTCATGAGCGGGTGGTTTCAATTCACGCACCAAGAATCATTAAATATCTTCGGAAGGAGTTGATTTCGGTATAATTTTCGTTGTGCGCATCGAGTTTTACGTGAAATTTTGGTGAAGACACATGTATCAGAATGCTGCAATTCGTACCTTGTCTAGTGGTCCATTGGTACATAACAGCTTTCTTGAATGCAAAGAAAATAATTAAAAATGTTGAAAAAGAGTTGTCAAAACAAAAAATTACATAGCCCCTTCAATTCAGAAGATACTACAAACGAACTGTACCTTAACATTTTCATATCCCAGAAGCTAAAGTTCCCATGACGAATACTGCTATCGCTAGCGATTGCAAAATCCAACTTGTTCTCATTTCATTTCCTTTCCCTTTCCTTTTTCCTTTTCTGTAGCATCTTGATCCATTTACAATTATTATTTTAAAATAGCTTTCCCCTAGTATACAATTGATGCTTCAAACGGAATCAATTGTTTTAATGACATTTCCGGCTAAATCATGGGTTTTCCTAGGAAGGCAGCCTCTCGTCCCTCCCGGACTCTACTCTTAGCCAGATAAGTTGTTTTTTTAACACTTTTCCCAATTCAAATCCATGTAAAATATTCACATTTATCGCACAATCTGGCAACCTCTCGAGTGAAATAGAAAAAGGTAGAATCGCTGAAAATCTGAATCCTTCGAAGTTTATATTAATGATGACTATGACTGGGTCTTACCACAAGGGTCCGTGAAATGTAATCTCTACGTCCTTTAGATTAATTGCGGATGTATACATAAAAATCTGTAGATTGGTATAATGTGAGTACTTAGTGGTATAATATAAAGGTAAAATAAATAAGATAGTAGTAGCTTGATTAATTGTTGTAATTTGATAGTGAGTGGATTCTATGCCTTTTCATGACTTTTTTTTAGCTCAGGCAAATTTTGAGCCACAAATATTGTCAAATTACCGCCAACTACAATTTAACTACAATTTAATCAACTGAAGGAAAAAACTTAAAACAAATAACAGTAAAAACTAAAGTCAAAGTCGTTTAAAAATCTCTCGGAGCACATTAAAAAGGACCGATTTATTGTTTATGTTACGCCAAAGTGATCCTGTTGTCGAGTGGTGTTAAAGCCTAGTGGAATAGTTAGTGACCTTTCACAATTTTTGTTATATCCACGTTCGTTTTGTTAAATGTACTTTCCGTTTTTCATTTTGTTAAGTGTAAGTTGTTATCGAACTCCGAATCTTTTCATAGACTTGCTGACTGTGAACCGTGAATGTGAACTTTTCTAAAAGCTTAAAAATTAAATAGAAAAAAATAAAGTGGTTTTTATTATTGGAGTAACAACTATATTTTTGCTGGATATCTTCAACAACCTACTGAGGATTGATGTTTGGAACTTCAAATTTTTCTTCTTGTCATTTTCATTAAATTTACGTGTAAACCTAAGGTTGCACTATCTCGAGGCGGTGGGGTCCTTGCTTTGTGTTTTAAGCAACCCCCCCCCCCCCCCGCCACCCCGATTAACTATTTAAGCGCAAAATTACCCCGTCCGCAGGTTCAGCAAATATTTTGACTCGTCTGCAGACTGGCCGGTCTAAAGTCTGAAAATTACGCGAATGACAATTAATTTTAGCTGCAGTTCTTACGCTAACCAACGAATGTTGCCCACTGAGGCACCGACCGACTTTTGACGAATTATTCGTGACACTTTGAAAGAAATTTACAAATATCATAGAAATATCAATACGTCTCATACAAATTTAAAGGTTTGAAAATTAAGTGTACGGTCAATTTTTTCCACTTTCCTACAGGAGCTGTTACTAAAAATTAAAGAGTTTTTTTTACAGAAAATTTGATATCCGAGTAAACAAAACTGATCGTTAGAGATTCGTTTCATAGAGGGAGAGATGAGAGAAACTAACAGAAAAAGGGTAGTTCTCGGTGAAAATGTCCATCTAATGTTGTTCAAAAATTATTTCAAAAGTTGGAAATTAGAACATCCATTAAAGCCTAAAATTATTTGCCTAATCAGAGAGTGACACTTTTTTGTAGTAAAAAGATTGAGATGCAATACCTAGTTTCTCTACATGGACGCTCTGCTATTTGAGTGCTACAACTCACGGCAACTCCCATGAATTTTTGAAAAGGTGAGGAAAGCGAAGGTGCCTTCAATTTTGAAGATGCAACACGCACATCTGTGGAACACGAATAGTTGCATCAAGGCGTCATTTCCATCTGACAATCAGCATAGTATTGAAAGGTCGAAATAATCACCGATTTAAATCGGCCATTCAAAAAAAGACTCAAGCACCGGAGATGTAAAAAGCGTTTCAATCAACCCGTTCTAAATTTCAGAGCTCTGAAATATTATATTGAAACCATGAATTCATTAACCACATAATCTGTTCGTTCACTCCCTATTGATGACATAGCATTGATAAGATAAAACTAAACATTGAATAAGCAGGGTTAGATATCATGAAGAATCGGAGCTGATAATGATTACAGAATACAAAAAGTTGATTCCTTGGATCGAAAAATAGCAGTGTGCCTAAAAAAACCCGCTTACACTGATTGTGAGTGTTAATCTCCTGACGTTTGGGAACTACATTAATTTAACACTGTTGCAACATTTACAAATTAAATCAATGCGAATCTTCTAGAGTGGCAAATAGTGTGCTGATGCTGATGGTAGTTAAACTAACGCCTATAAATGAAACGCACGGACTCTGGTCCGTGATGACTTTTGATGCCATCACGTACCTATACAAATGGAGCTCGATCAAAACAAATTTTAAAGAGTCTGAAAAATAAAGTTATCGTTTTCGAAGATTTCAAACTTAATAATAACTCGCTTAAATCAATACTTTGCCAGTGAAAAATTATTTTACAGAGCTCAAAGCTCTGTCACGGTGTTTTGGGAATCCCTTCTTTCGCGCTAACGTTTCGACTTTAAAATCAGGTAAGACTCACTTTCTTGATCAGGCATCATTATTTAGTCTTTTTTTTTCTCTCTACATCAATTAATTGGACCGCGTTAAGTAGAAAGGGACCAAGTCACATCGGCTGTTGCCAAATAATTGGGCAATTTAATTCGTGCAGTTTTTGAAATAATGATGGTATTCATGATTTCAACCAAAACTATTTTGAAAGTATGTTTTGTGTAAAATTCACAACTAAAATCCAACTTTAAAGCAACAAAAAGTGAGTTTAAACTTCCTTTCTACCATAAGACTCCATGTAATTTTGAAACTTCTGCCTTGTCCTCCAAGCCCTTCTCATTGTCTCTACCCATTTGACTCTTTAAAAATCTTCATGAGGGAAGAATATGTATCAAGATCCTAACGAAGAGCAAAATTTGTTTGCAGACATAGGTTACAGAAAATGGGCGATTCAAGGAATGGTCCGATTCCAAAGTCATTACGTCTGTTCTGTGCAGTCACATCATTGCTCGCAATGGGGTACTGTGCCAGATTCTGGCGGCTACCTACTCAAGTAGAAATGAATTACAAGATGAACCACTACAAAATATGGCCCGACGTGGTAGCGAAGAAAGCAAATTTATCGTTCATTCGTGTAAGTGGTGAGTGAGTTAAGAACTATTTGGATAGTCTTTTACAAATCGAGACCCCCAAGTCTTGGAAATCATTGATGATAAGTTTATAAATTGTAATTGAGCTGAGTAAAATACTGCCGTGCTAAAAGGAAGAACGCCATATAAACATTCGAGAGTTGCCAAGTTGCCCCGGACAAAACTTGTATTTTACAGAAAGATTATGCACATTTTTCCTTGAGACATTTTAGACAGAATTGCGAAAAAAATTGTCTAAAAATTGAAGAAAAACATTCACAATTTCCCCAGTAAATTAGATTTTTATTGAAGGAAATGTGTCAACGTCTGCAGGTTCATACGGTGTTCTTCCTTAGCACGTTAGAATAAGACTTAAGGTGGAGAGTATGATCTTACAGAACCAAGAAAAAAACATCAGCAACTTTTGGGTGGAATGAAACAGTAAAGCCATGGGGATAGATATTCACAAAGGACACTGATTTGCTGCATATAAAAAGAAATTGGCAAAAATAAAATTTTGGGGAGATAATAAGGAATTCATCCCCTAACATTTTTAAAATTGTCAAATGACGGCGGACTAAAACTGAGAAAATGGAATTCGCGCAAGGGTTTTAACTGCGAGATTTTTAAAATTTGCCTTCTTTCAAATAATTGAGTCCTCAAAGAAATTTTCTAAAGTTATAAACCATTTAAATATTATGATTAAATGAAAATCAAAATAATAGTCAAAAAAATTAGAATCAAATTAGCCCGAATCCATTTTTTCCTGGACGTATTTCTGCCAATCGGCACTATGCGCATTCAGACATGAGCCCTGAGACCCATATGAATACATGCATAACAAGGCTCACGTCATAATGCACATATAGTTCCGTTTGGCAGAAATACGTCCACCTGTTACGTATCCGCGGATTAATATCCACTTTTAATTTTGCAATTTCCAGATCCAATCACATTAATCTGATACTGTAATTTGAGCTGAAGCTGGAAAAATTATCTCCCCCCCCCACCCCAAACGAAAAAAAATTACAATTTTTGCGATTCCTTGAAAGTGAAAAGAAGACACTTTGTGCCCATTTGGTCTCCTTTGCCCAGAGTTAAGAAATTTCATGAAAGATTATAAAAAGAAATTTCATAATGAAATTTCATGAAATTTCATGAAATTTCGTGAAATTTCATTTAACACGCAGAATTCAGGATTAAACCCTTGAAACTTATGAATCTCCTTAAGTTCATTTGTATGCACGTGGTAAACTGTGAAAGGGAACTTTAGAAATGCCCAGAAAGTTGAGTAAAACAGCAAAAACATAATTTTGATTTTTTTTTCTTAAATTTTGGTTGAACACACAGCGCACAGCCGTACCAGTTGAACACCAAAATAAATTTTACGGATAAAGTAAGACGTTAGCTTTCATATTTGGAGCAAAACAAATTTCTTGACTATAAAGAATCCTAGTACCCCCTAATAGTATATCGTTCTATTTTGGTACAAAAGAGAGGGATCTTGAACTATCTTTGAAACAATTTAAATGATTTTTTCATTTGTCTCTGATTTTTTTCAGAAATTAACAGTTTGAAATTTGAAGTTAGGGTCCCCGGTTCCCCTCCCCTTGATAAGCCAGAACTGCCAGAAGAGAAAGAGTAAGAGAAGACCAGAAGAGAAAAGCTGAGAGAAGACCGCGCTCCAACTGGTCTAATTGACGAATATTATTCTCTTTAAAAATAAAAACAAATTCTGTTAGAAAAAATAAGCATTTTTGACATTTTGTCGGTCGAAAGAAATTTCATTGGGAAAAAAGAAATTTCATGAAATTTCTTGTGAAATTTCATGAAATTTCATTCGATGAAATTTCTTTTAGCAACTCTGCCTTTGCCTCATATCAATTTATGTTCGTAGGTTCAATTTAGACAGACCGTTACAGTCGTGCTGGGTAATAAGGTCCACGTCAAAGCACTTGGTGACAAACCTCACAGCATCACTTGGAAAGCAGACAACAACACGCTCCATACTCTTCTACTAGTGGGTAAGGACAATGCGGTCCAAAACGAAAACACTTTAACCCTAATCCAGATGTCTCAATTTTATCTCTGAAACAATGCTTCAGCTATGCCAATTCATGCAGGGAGCATTTCTGCTTCATGCTTTCAGGATGAATTTGTCATATTCACAGGGCCGGATTTACCTACTTGCCGCCCATATGGGCCGCCTGTATTTTGCCGCCCCCTTCTCATTCGTTTTGAAACATCAATAAAAATCATTAAGTGAACGTGCCGGAGGGGGATGGCTGCATAAGACGCGTTTACCTACTCGTGTTGGATACATTATTTGCGGAAGCCCTGTCAACACTACCAGCAAAACTTCACGGAACTTGACGCGAAAGTTAAGTTCCGTAAACCTATCTCTATGTAGACAACGTCCTCCATATATAAGAAATGAACCAAAAAATTCTGAGAGAACAAACATAAATGTTGCTTAATAATTGTAACTTCCGCCGCTGCGCCGCGCTGATCGCACTGTGTTTGGCGCAATGCGTGAAGTATTCCTGCAGTCTTGTAGGCGCTATGCGTTTCACGCCAACTGCTCCTGACCGCACTGTATTTGACACAATGCGTGGAGTATTCTCGCAGTCTTGTAGGCGCTAATATGTGTTACATGTCGACCGCCGTGCCGAAGGCTTGTCCTTTTCATCTCAAGTCCTCGTCATCATTCCTCTCTTTGCTGAGCTCTAGGCCAAATCACCTGTTTCGTTCCTCTCTTAACTCGACTCATTAAAGATGCTGTCTCTTGTATCACCGAAAAACGACAATATTAATAATTACTATACTTTCAGGAAAGAGAGATTTTGTCCCCTTTTCTCATTGATATTTTTGTTTCTGAATCCGATCTTTTTTACACCTACATTTAAAAAAATTGCAAAATTTGCTGCCATGGGCCGTGGCCCGTGTGGCCACCCCCTTAATCCGGCCCTGCATATTCATCTCTTATACTCTAAGCCCCGAGACCTCTTAAATTTGCATATCTGGTAACACTAAGTTTCAGCGTTCTACCGGGCCGATGTTCATGATTTTGGTGGCTATCGACGAATAATTGTCTCTAGATGAGCCCGCTGTATTCAGATTTTGAAAATATGACCAGGTTTCTTTTTATTACGTGGTAAAGTTGCGAATTTTGGTTGGGAAAAACTTGCTTGGATGGAAGGTATAAGGGGAGGGCGAGACTTCAATCAATTTTCTTCAAATGTTTTACATCGTAATAACGCCCCCCCCCCTCCCCCATTACTTTCAGAGAAATAGACATAGTTGTAGAAAAATCCAAGGTGCAATAAATCAAAATTCCTTGGAATGTTCAATTCTTGTCTCAACATCAATATCCAACTCTGTACTTCTAGATCCAGATTGGCCTATTAAAGAGCCTCGGACAGTGAACGAATTTCCACACTGGATGGTCGGAAATATCCCTGGCAACAACGTCGAGAAAGGGGAAACCATTTTTGATTACGTGGGGTACCGTGCTACGATCGTGGATAAAGGTGAGTCATATCAATGATCATCTGACAAAAATTAAAATTTTTGAATTGCTGCACGAGCAAAATTGAAAAATAATGTGGGCATCTCAAAAGTTTTGTGATTTTCGTGAAAAATTCCTCGCTTCATGGCGCAGAAAACCAAGGTTATACGACCCGAATCGTTGGATATGCCCCATCTTGTTGAGCCAGGCTCTCAGTTGACCGAACCGCGAAACTTCGATCTATGGAACATGTTCCATAAAAATCAAAGTTTTCTATCCGTAGTAATCAATCTTCAGTTTCCTCGATTACTTTGCGGTCGATTTTCTCGACCAAAGGGCTCGATAGTTCTTTGAACCGGAAAACGCGTACCTACATATCTGGTTCTTAAAACTAAGGTTTTTGCCTTGTGTACATTATGAGCCACGTGTTACGACTGCAGTGGAAGCGCAGTTGTTCCAGTGCTGAGTACAGCGAAAACACGTGATACAAATGAAAATATCCCATTATGTACTTCTCTATGAAAATCCGTTTTTTCTCTTCGTCTCATCTCTCCTAAAGATATTGCTCTTGTGGTTGTAGTACCAGTCTTAAAGTATTAAGAAGGAAAAAAGTACTATGGAATAGAAATTGCTGTGGTTCAGGTACTCAGTTAACAATTTACGTTTTTAGTGTTAGTGTTAGGTACTCTGTGTTACTTTGTGTTTCTTTTTCTGTCAGATTAACCTAAAGGACTTGGTTCCTCAACACAATGGACCACTAGACAAGGTACGAGTTTAAGCATTCTGATACATGTTTCTTAACCAGAACTTAACGCAGAACACGATTCTTGCATTGAAAATTACTGAAATCAATTCCTAACTAAGATATTAACTATTTTATTTCTTATTGGTTACGAGTAATTTGAACTGTCCGCTCACAAGAAACTCAAAGCTCTTCGTGAGTCAAATAGCGCACTACAACGGTTTCAGCAAGCTTCTCAATCAAGCAATGTTTATTTCCCACCATGCGTTGTTCAAACTATAAGCAATTTGCTGCAGCTGAGCCAAAGCGTCAAGAGTGAGGTTGCCAGATTTTTATATCGCAGAGACTGTCATGATAACGTTTAGCGCACGATTTGAATCACGTAGAATATTGAGTTTTCATGAGCGGGTGGTTTGAATTCACGCATCAAGAATCAGTAAATATCTTCGTAAGGAGTTGATTTCGGTAATTTTCGTTGTGCGAATCGTGTTCTACGTGAAATTTTGGTTTAGAAGCTTGTATCAGAATGCTGAAATTCGTACCTTGTCTAGTGGTCCATTTTGTGTTAAATTGAACCAAACACAAAACCGTAGGGTAATATCTGATCATGAGACATCAGCCAAAGAAGACAGTGTCCTCCCAAACTTATGTACTCTTGTTGCCCTCCACGTACTTAGAAATCGCGACTTGCGAGCGGCTAGCGGCTAGCGCATTGGATTACCACGGATGTGCTCCAGGGTCGATCCTGACCGCTGGCGAGTAATTTTCAACGAGGTTGTAGATTTATAACACAAATTTCTAACCCATAAATGTGATTATTTGACTCAGGGAACACTAACACAAAAATGTATCAAGCAAAAACGTGTGCTTGTACGTGTTTTACTTCCCATGTTAACACGAGCTTTTGGTTCCCTTTCCTTAAGGAGAAGTAGGAGGTCTGGTAAGCAGAGAATTTGAAAGGGTATAGGAAATATTCAAGTGTTAAGTTATTGCCTGACTTTTACATCGTCACTATTGAACTGATAAAAATTTCAAATTTGTCAGCTTTGGTCACTTGGATTTGAATAATCCAATGAATTCATTAATGAAGTAATTGCAATTTCATCATCAGAAGTGTCTTCTCTTTTTTCTAGAACCTCACAGATACACCTTTGTCGCATACAAGCAGCCAAGCGAAGAACCTATTAAATTTGATGAGCCGCGATTGAATGACACGTTAGTGGAATACATTTATTCTTTCAGTGGCAAGGCGTGAATGCTTGATTTATCGATATTTCCCTAATTTGAGCTGCGCGGTAAAGAATCGATTATTAAGGTGCTCGTTGCGAACACCGTGTTTATCGATCCTTTTCCATAGGTTTAAAATGGCATATCAATCGATATATCGCAAAGTACCTCGCGCCATTGCATCATTATTTACCTATATAAGTTATGTTGATATACATATTATAGACGGTGAGACAACCAGACCACGTATCTTGCTTGCGGTGGTTAAAAAAATCCACTCCCATTTTGCTTTTTTGAAGGAGAACAAATCAGTATTAATACTTGAAGTTCTCACTGAGAATTTCTTTGAACAGAGAAGGAAAATCACGGAAGTTTCGAGAATTGGCGCTCAATAGTTTTCCATACAGAAATTAAAGTATGAAAAGAAGCCTGCGACGTCACGAACCAAGAAAAACTGTCTAGTAATTTCACAGTCGATATCTTTTACATTTAGCCATCGACGTTATTTCTGCGATCAGTGTGTAAAAGTATACTTGTGGTGGAGAGAAAGTAATTAAAGCCATTTAACTATATTACTAACTTATGATTGTTTATATATGTATGGTAAATTCCTGAGAGGTTTTGCAAGGCCACTTTATCTGCAGAAGTCTCGTATAAAGTGTAATGGTCACATATCGTCGTTTCTCTCACGAAAAAACGTAACTGCAGTTCAATGTTGCCAGATTTTCCCGCGCTAATTGTATTTTTACGAGGATAATTTCTAATTGAAAACCTCACTAATTTTTCCTCTGAACTCATGCAAAAATCTGAAAATTTGTTGACGAAAAATATGCAGGGCACCATTTTTGTACAAAAGTGACTTGTTTGAGTCTAGTTTGCAGCTTTAGAATAAAGTTACATTCCTTCAGGGGGGGGGGGNGGGGGGGGGGGTTATTATGATTTTCAAAAGAAATGATCATACCTGACTTTCACAAAATTTTGAGAACTTTAATTTTATATCTGAGATCAATTTTGCTCTGTGGTGCCGCGCATCTTATTTCAAATTCTCAAATTACCATCAATGGAAATTTAGTTACACATATTTTTAAGATGGCATCAACGGTCACTCCCAAAATGAAGTAAGTACATAGAGGATTGGTTAATTACATAACGTTAAATTTTATCATAACGATCTGTTTACCATAGAACTTCTCACAGTTTATTTTGTTCGTCATCATCAGTTACTTTTCATACTTTATCAACTAAAGTCGGTGAGATGTCAACGCATGCTTAATTAATGCGAATGGGCGCTTTTTTAACTGATTTCAGGCAAATTCTTGAGCGAGAAAAATTATCAAACTTCTCAGCCAAGAACATAGCGAAGAAATATGGTCTCAGGAACGCTGGTATCAACTTCTTCCTCGTGAGCCACAGACGGCCTTACGTCAATGATGACTATTTAATAGACATAGAATATTGGGATGACTGATTCCTCGCTATGTCAAGACCTATTATTTGCTTTCAGACAAGTTTGGGAGCGAGAGGTTTTCAGGAATTTTTCTGCAATATACCTACAATGTAAATACAACCTTACACCGGTAGCGATCAACTTCTTCCTTGTGGATCAGAAAGAAATCTATATCTGGATGACAACACAGACTTAGAATCCTTGGCGGCTTTTCAAATCGGAGCGGTCACCTCTCCAAATAAAGAAAATCATTACGATAATTACTGAGATTTTACCCGTGTGCTTTTAAAATCCTTCATTCACTTAAAATTACACATAGAAGGGGAAAATTTAGAAAAAATAAAAACAGAAGAAAATAAATGAAATTCACTTTATTCATAATGGCCTCAGTTTGAAAGAAGTTACTAGCAGGTCCTTTTAAATTTCAGCTGCTCCGACTGCACGCTGATTTTAGGAACCGAAAACTTCAGTGGCAAAATGTTTTGTGCTGTTATTTTATACATGTATTCCACAAATATAGATTGTTAATTTTGTAAACTCCTTCTATCAAATGTTCCTCCTGTTAAGCTCAGTAATTTATTAGCTGACTCAAAACTTCTATCGTGCGAAATTTATTTGGGTGGCGTTTGGACTTAAGCCATTTTCCCCCCGTTTTTCGGTTTTTTACTGAAGTAGAAAAATGTTTTATGTCAATATTTTATGATATTCTGTATTGAAAGAGTATATTTGAAGCCTCACATTTTTCTCTCTGTTTTACTTAACATATCGATCGGCTTTGTTCCACGTGTGCTTACAGTCATTGACCTTTTCCCTCAGGCCTCGGTTTTTGAAATATGGATTCCACTGTAAACAATTTTAAGACCCGAAGGCTTAAAAAAATTAAAATCTCTGGGAAAGCATCTTGGAATAAATTAGTAAAATCAAATCTATTGAAATGGGACGAATTCATTCGAAGATTATCAAATTAAATGTAGAAAGTCTTTCAACAGAATAACGGATCTATTTGTACAAACAGATTTTAAAAAACCGCGCACCTAAAAAAGCACGTCACTATGCTGCATAGTCCATTGGAGTTAGTGGCGTGGCGTCCATTGCGATTTGTCGATTGATCTGCCATTGAAACCTACGAAAAAGGATCGATAGACAGGGTGTTTGCGACGAACACCCTGATAATCGATTCTTCACTATAGCTTCAAATGGAGAAATATCAATATCGATCATCCATGAACTATAAAACTAATAGATGGCATAGGGTCATTAATTCTTACTGTCCTAGTGATTGTTGTATTTGGTCATGGAAAAAAGAGTGACGCAATTGGAATTACAGCCGCCAGACACCAAGAATCAAAGGAATCATCCGAGGTTTTATCAACTCCTATGGAAATTATGACCTGCAGCTGCATGGTGCTGACAAGCAAACAAAAGCCCTGCCCTCCTTAGTTCACTCCTTGATGATTACCAAGCATTGATAAGATAAAACTAGAAATTGAATAAGCAGGATTTGATTTGATATCAGAATGATTCGGAGCTGATAATGAATACAGGATACGAATGGACTTATCTCTGTCAAACGGAACTATGTGTGCATAATGACGAGAGCTCTGTGGTGCATGTACTCGTACTCTCATAGGTCCCAGGACTCATGTCTAAATACACATAGTTCCGTTTGATAGAAAGACGTCCAAAAAGTCGACTCCTTAGATCAAAGGACGTATTCATGCTAAAAAGACCGCGTTAAATAGAGAGGCACTATGCCACATCAGCTATTGCCAAATTTAATCGGGCAATTTAATTTTTTACATGAAAATGGTTGTGCGGATTTTTGTGCAAATTTCAGTAAATTTTCTTAATAATACAAAGCAAATTCCTGAAAATGTTCAAAGGAATCTGCGTAGACGTTCTCTTGTAAACAATGAAATCACCCTGTTAAAATTGGCAATAGCTGATGTGGCTTGGTTCCTTTCTGTTTAACGCGGTCCAAAAGGAACTATGTGCTAGTGGAAAGATGGGGTGGGCTCGTGGTGAGGCAGATAAGAAACAATGTTAAAGTGGATATGGCTCCTTTTGAGAAAATGGAAAAGCGCGTGATTTTACATTAAGCCAAAAGGAACTGAGCGCTACCTCGTGAGTCGTGGACTTGTGACAAGAGCGTTGTGGACAGGGCTCATGAGTTAAAGACGAGCAAGAACGACAATGGAGACGGCTTCGTTGCCGCTGACGTCACTGGCGCTTTAAAATCCTCATTCATTCTCATGGCCCTCAACTAACGAGCACACCCCATCATTCCACTTGTACATAGTTCCACTTAGCATAAATACGTCTAAAAATAACAGTATGCCTAAAACCCGTTCATGTTTAAAGTTTAATCTCCTGAAGTTTGCGAGAATACTAAATTTATTTAACATTTTGGCAACATTAACATTAAATCAATACGAATCTTTCAATGTGGCAATATTGTGCATCGTCACATTAAAAATAAGTTTAATATTGATATCAATCGATACAGGCTGTTTCATCCAGAGTCGATTCGTAATAATTCGATCAACGGAGAGGAACCTAGTTTTTTGGGATATTCAAAAACCGCGTGTGGGCATCATGGAGGACACAAGGACACACTTACACTTAGAATTTTAATCTCCTGAAGTTTCCGATACTTATACTGATCCATACTGACAAATGCGGCTCATTTTTCGGATGTAAATGAAACCTAACTGGAACAAGTGAATAAAATGGTAAAATGAGAGTGCCAACAAAATTCTATGTGCAGAATGACCTCATTGATCATTACAAGACAAATCATGGTATAACAGCGATAGCATTGAGCCAAACAGCTGCACTTTGCTCAATGTATGAACCATGGAAACTTATCGGTGAGTGAATTTTAGTGGTCATTTTAAAAAATATTAATGGGTCATGAAGGCATATTTGGCAACATGATTGATTTTTTAATGGTATTATTATGTCTGCTTATAGCCTACTTCCCCTCTTTCAATTTTTTATGCATTTAAAATGTTTTTATTGCCCCATATCTCTAAAAACGGAAATTTAACAGCGATTGATACCCTTATAGCTTACAAAACGTCCATTTTTCATTATAGAAGCCTTCGAATTAATATCAATCGCTACAGTCTAATCGACAGTGTTCGGTCACGCCAGATTGAGAATCCTGATAGTTTTTTTTTTTTTTTTAAATAATCCATTTAGTTGATTCTCTTTCAAGTATCGGCTGTTCACTGGAACTCTAATATTTTCCCCACAATTTGACGGTTTTTTTTCCCAGCATGAAAGTCTTGAGTCACTCTGTCTCTACTAATTTTTGGAATAATTTTACAAAAGTGTGTTTAATTTTAGCTTAGCTGAATTTCTCCGAATCCCAACGAGCTAGAACATCACCAGGTATTTTCTCGCTTTTATCGTAAGTCCTTTTTCGAGACGATCTTATTGGATTGGAGCAAAAAATATTTAAATCCAAAACTGAACATTTTTGCACAAAGGCAGTCTAGAGTTCGAAGGCAATGCATATATTTGTTTTAGATTTATTATTTACTAAATTTCGATTTTAGAGGATGGTATGGGCGGAATTTTGACAAAATTTTGCGGTCAGATGAGGAATAAGCACTAAAAATGTGGCCAAAATACGGTAAGTAACATGACAGTAGAATAGAGCTGGGTCCCAGCTATTCTGCGGGGAAATCAAAGTCAAAAAATCCAAAAATTATGATAAGAGTCACAAAATGATCTCTAATGAATTTCAGTGGAAGACCGAGGGGGAAGAATTTTCAGCCCAGGTAGGTTTTTTTTAGCCTTAATTTTCCCGCAGAATAACGTTAGTCCAGCACTGTTCTACCATCATGTTATTTGCATTAAGGAAACTTTATTTCCGGTTCGTTTACGAAACAATGTATGTAGTTCCCTTATGTAAATTGGTGCTTTTATGGACGAGTCAGTTATAATTGTTCCCTATTGCAACATTAGGCGCATTTGCACAATATTTTGGAATGAGGAGCTACTATCTTTAGCTCATTCATAAGAGAATCTATTTTGCGCATGGACTGCTCTAATAACAAACTCATTTTTTTTGCAAAAAGCAAGAATTTGTAGTCCCGCATTGCAAAATGAAATCCATTTGATGCTCAAGTTCTACCATTAATTAACTTTATCTCGCGATGAGGAACTACTATTTCCGGTTCATTCAAAAAATGAAGGAAAGGTGCCATTAACTTACTGATGTCAGTCATAAAGGGTGTCTCTATCGACGGGTCAAAAATAATAGATCCTCCATTCGCAGGGCCTATAGCTTTTCCTAGAAGTTTACTTGGCCTCTCCCTAGAAATGTGAAGAATTTAGCTCAGGAAGTGCATGGCACATCACTCACATTGGAAATTGGATCAATTTTTCGGTAAGAATAGCTTATGATTGATCCTATGACGGCTCAATTTTTTTTTAAAACTCCGGAGGAAACCCCTGGACCCCCTATGTAGCCCCTTATTCCAAAGCAGTGGCGTGGCGCGCTTTGCGATATATCTGTTACGGTCAAATCCCGAAACTCGGGCGCATTGCGATTTGTCCTGGTCAATATCCCGAAATTCGCGATTTGCCGAACGCAGTTCGGGCACATGACAAAATAGTTCAAAAATTCGGCCGGGGCAGACCGCGATGCGCCCAAACGTGCCGTGGGCAAATCTCGCGAGATTAAAAAAAATTAGAAAACTACTGACCGGTCCCATCGCGGAATGGCAACAGTGGATTGCGAAAACATAAAATTCGAGTTCCAAGCGTGGATCGTGGTGAGGTGGATGCTAACAATTTAATGCTAAAAATTGGCGTTGTTTTGAGTGTCACAGGTGAAAAAATTTATGAGAGTGATACGAAAGAAAAGTACAATTTTTTTTCATTTTTTGCTTGAAACCAGATCCACACTTGCAAGGAAGTATTTATAACCGCGGAAGACGTACCACAAGGAAGAGAGGTGAGCGTCAGAAGTGTGAGTTTGAACCTCTTAGGATTTTCCCACGGTAAATTAGGGCGCATCGCGATTTTTCCGGCAAAAGTCGGAGTTTTGAACTATTTCGTAATGTGCCCAAAGCGCGTTTGGCAAATCGCGAATTTCGGGATTGGCCCGGGCAAATCGCAATGAGCCAGGGTTTCGGGGTTTTGACCGTAACATATAGATTGATCTGCCACTTGAACCCATGGAAAATGATCAATAAACAGGGTGTTCGCAGCGAGCACCTTAGTAATCGATTCTTTACCACGACTTCAAATGGGGAAATATCGATAATCGACCATTCATGCCTCGCCTCTGTTCCTAAGTGTAATCCAATTAATGGAAATTCTCTCTAACGTTTGTCTTGACTTAGGGTCTTTCCGCCTCTTTTTTATGTTCGTTGAAGTATTGGAGTGACCATATGAAACAATAGAAGGTGATCCTCAAATATTAATTTTTCTTTTGATCCAAATCATCTGAAGATTTTATATAGTTAAAACATGGTAAAAGTAGCTCACAAATACAGTAATTAACTAAACACTCAACATTC